TTTTTTTTTTTTTGCATACAGTGGTTGTAATGCATAAGTAATGGAATAAGCTAATTTTAATGTTATTTTTAAAAGATCATCTAAAGTACAGGGATGTTTTACCTTTCATTAGCCAAAATATATTTAAATTGCATTGAACAGTGTGATTAAAATAAAATTCTGCAGCTTTATGGAGAACAGACATTCAAAAGTCTCTTTTTCCCTGGTAATTTAAAGGTGAGTGGGCCCTGCCCTGCCCTGTTGTTCATTTGGAGACCTGTCTTCAAATAGTTTCTTGACCTGATTTTTATATAAATGTTTTCATCTAATTACTGCCTGCGCACTACTGCCTTGATAATGGAATGACATTTCCGAAAACCTTGTGTTTTCTAAGGAAGCAAAGAGTTAGTAGAAAAGAGATGATTTGTCTTGAATTAAGCTTTTTTTGTTTTAATGGAAGACTTTGAGCTTCCACATTAATTTGCAGGAGCTTTCAAGTATATGTACTTTTACATATATAAAAAACCTGAGTTAGGAGGATTCCTTACTTGTATTTTACTGCCTTCCTGCTTCTAAATGTTATCTACCATGACTGCATCTGTAGAACATTTTGTTCTGAGAAGTGAAACAGTTAAACAATGTAGTTGGATTAAGTACTATCAAAAGTTAAAACAGTTTATGTAGAATAATGTAGATGATACTTAAGCTTTTGTGATGCACCTGTCATTGTCAGGAACAGAAGCTTTTAATGTTCTCCAGTTTTATTGTGCTCATCTTAGTGGTGAAGTAGCACTGCAGTTAGCAGCTGGATCAGGAATGATGGATGCCAAATAAAGGAGGAACTCCTGAATAGGAAATTAGCAACTTATTCAAACATCCTTAGTGCCAGAATTAATATAAAAGATTGTAAAGAAATGTATTGCAATTTATTCTTTACATTTATTGCATTGAGACAAAAAAAAATGGTTTGGATGACAGAACTGGATAAGTTATGTTTTTTCTTTGCTCTTTCATGGTACCTTATTTGTTTGTTTGAGAATTTTGTTTGTTTTACTTGTTCTCAGGTGACCTGCAAACTCCTTTTCCCCATAACCAGCTCTTACAGCTCATTGTATACAACCTGGAAGATCATAGAGCTCATGAAAGAGAAGTCTGCAGTTACTAACTGGTTGTCTTCAGTAAAATCACTGCTACCTGTTACAACTCAGGTCCCTGCCCATGTTTTTCTTCTGCTGGCTTATCTACTGATCCAAGAAAATGGCGACAGTCTTCGTGATGTACTCCAGGCTACTACGGAAATAGCCAAGGCTGATTGTTCTCAGGTAAAAACTTACTGTTAGTGGACTTTGTTACAGGAATTGGGCTGGATTCTGCAGCCCCAGAGAGACAGGCTGCCAAAGCTTCATGACCCTAGGTCCAACAACTGTCAAGACTGTGCCTGTATTCCTAGTAGGTACAAGCACACGCAACACACATGTACACCACATATCTGTCCTTAAATGTATGTAACACAGGCACGCAGATCGCTCACAAGAACATGAAACAGCACCAGAGGCCCCACCTTGCTCTCCTTTCTGGCTGAGCAGGATGGAGGTCTACTAGTGGGAATATATGTATGGATATGTACGATATGTACGGCATGGATCCCTCCAGCAATGGGGCACAGATGATCAATGTGTACAGTAGGAGGTCTCTGGATCCCAGTCTCACCACTTGCTGGCATCTGGACATATGAGCCCCTGGGATCGCAGCTCCACTGCGGTTCCTGGTGCAGACTGTCCCTGTCCTGCAGAAATACACACACACGTGCACCCCCCTGCATATTCACACCCTCAGCTGTCTGGGACTCCCCTGGCCTCCAAGTAGGCAGCCTCACTTGTGGGCTTGCTCTTAGGCACACACATATACACGCACATGCATATACCCACCTGGCTGTAACTCGCCTTTCGTGTAGCACTTACAGCAAAATATGTGTTATGTCTCTGTATTTTTTAGTTGTTTAAGCTTAGGAAGAAAGACTGGCGCATTTGTTGATATTATCTAATAGTATGAAGATACAACATCCTCATCCTTTCAACTTCCTCAAGTTGAAAAGAGGCTGCTAAACCAGTTCTGACTTTTGATGACCTCATAAATTACTCTGTGTTCTTTTGTGGTTACTGGAGGACCGCCAAGTCCCTTGTGATACCTATATTTGTGCTTCTTAAAAATATACACATAGTCTTTATCTGCTTCAATACTGAATTCAAGCCAGGATTATGCAATGTGCTTATACTTGTCTACATAACTTGGAAAGATAAATGGGGATTCCTAGAAACAGTGATAGGTAATGCGGGGGGCCGTTATACAGAAATTTACAATTTTTTATTGTAAAATAAAAAAAAATCTAGGGAAGGGACAAATGTTGCTTCAAATTTCAGATGTGAAATGAAGACAAGATTTACTTGCTTCTGTATTTTTTTAAATTGCTTTCTGCCTCAAGGAGTTACCATGCTCTGCAGAACAAGAGTTGGAAAAAGATTCCGCTTCTGGGATATGTGGTTGATGACTTACAGTGCTGAGCACTTCAGTTCCAGACCATGGAAGCAGTCCAGGATGGGATTTCTGTTGGACACATACAGAAATGCTGTGCTAAACCAGGCCTTTTATACAGTGCTTTTGAAGATAACTGTATTTCTTAAGCCAGAGGAGTTTTTAAACCAGATGACTGCTTCATCTGTTGCGGGTTGCCTACTGTTCACCTTTTGTGTTTCTTCTCAAATCTCTTTCTGGCTAGCCTTTTGTTTTGTTGTTTTCTTGAATGAACTTAAATTGATACAGATTTGGGAGCATGTTATGTCTTCAATTTTTTTTTCTCAGTTTGACTGAACTTTATCGATTTTAACTTTATTGTTCTTTTAGCATTACATTCAGTCATACTTTTGATTGTAGTTATGTTTTCTTAAATGATGCTAGTTCCAGGTTTTTTGTTTTCTGTCTCGAAATTTGTTAACTTATTTATTAAAGATAAGGGTTTGTTTTTTGGATGGTATGTGGAAAAAGTAATTCTGACTCCTGCTCAAGCACACAGTAACAGATTGAAAAGTGCAGTTTTCAGTCTAGAGAAAATTGCAGGATTTTGCTGTAGAATTGCTGATCAGAACTGTGAGTGTTATGTGGGCATGGAAGAACATGTAGAACTGTTAATTTACATGAGTTGTGACATTACTGCTCTGAAAAAGAGTGAAATGTATTATTTACATGTTAGCCAAACCAACCGTAGCTGGGTTTCCAAGAAGTTTGTAACCTCCAAATACATTGAATCATTACATTTCTCACTACAGCTTGAGGAAATGGACCATAGAATACTTGTAAGGAGGAATAAAAAAGGGAAGGTTTCATTGATCTTAAAGGGATTTTTCATTGTGGCATCAGTAGCATGGTATTGATATTTTTTTTTTGTCTGGAATAATCATAGAATGGTTTGGGTTGGGAGGGACCTTTAAAGGTCATCTAGTCCAACATCCCCTGCAATAAGCAGGCACATCTTCAATTCGATTGGATTGCTCAGAGCGCTGTCCATCCTGACCTTGAATGTTTCCAGGGTTGTGACATCTACCACCTCTCCGGGCAACCTGTTCCAGTGTTACTCCACCCTTATCATAAAAAATTAACTCTCTATATCTAGTCTGAATCTGCCCTCTTTTAGATTAAAACCATTACCCTTTGTCCTGTTGCAACAGGCCCTGCTAAAAAGACTGTCCCCATCTTTCTTATGAGCTCTTTCTTGTAAGTACTGAAAGGCTGCAATAAGGTCTCCCCAGGGCCTTCACCAGGCTGAGCAACCCCAACTCTCTTAGCTTCTCTTCATACGAGAGGTGTTCCAGCTCTCTGATAATTTTTGTGGCCCTCCTCTGGACTCGCTCCAACAGGTCCATGTTTTTCCTGTGGTGAGGACTCCAGAGCTGGATGCAGTAGTCGGGTGGGGTCTCAACCAGAGCAGAGCAGATACGGATGCAGCATATTGGGAAGAGGTATAGCAGTTAAGAGAAAATTGCTAACTAGACTGAAGGGTACAGCCAACTTGAGCGGTCTGCAGCACATGTGTAGCACACTTCAAATCACAAGCAGCCATCCGCTGAACTGAAAAAGTTACTGAGCAATTTGCTCTTAGAGTACATTCATTCCTGTTCGTGAATTAAATACAGAAGTGTTGTGCTTTGCTCATTTTATTGTTGTTTGAAGTTCCTGTTTTGTCCTGTGCATTAGTTAGTATGGTGTTTGATTTTAGTGAATACACAGGTGGTTGCAGACTCAAGATGACAGTGTTTATACAAAGCCTGAACTACAATGTTGGTGTTTTTTTAAGAAGAACCTGTAAGGCTACACAGCTTATTTAAAGCTCAAAGTACAAACAGGATCTAGTTCCTCGATGCTTCTTTTCAAATTTATTCAATATCCTTGGTGTGCTCCTTGTTGAATTGTGTGTAGAACAGATGCCCTGGGATGTTACCGTTCTGACATCAGTGGAGATACTGAGCTACTGGAAGTTGGAACTCAGAAGTTAGGCATCTGGTGGAAATGTGCAAAATGAAGTACTTTTTGTTGTTTTCAGGATATCTTTTCCCATTCTTATTTTGTCCACCTAATGGTTGGTTCTTACTTTCTGAGAACAGCTGTTGTGTTCTTGCATTTAGATAAATTCTCTTAAACTACAGTTATAAAATTCTTTCATTCTGTTGTAGCCTTGTACCTCTTCTAGAGGATGGTTAAGTAACACAAAACAAGGAAGAATTAAAAAGCAGAAAAAAAGTGTAACAAAACATGCGAGCGAGTCAGAACCTCACAGTACTCTTCTCAGAGTGAAAGATTCTCTCTGACAGCTGTGACAAGAGGATACTTGAAGCTGTTTTTGCTGCTTCATGCAATGTTTGGCTTCCTTTTAGTTTGTCACCTCCTTCTTTCCACTCCATTTAACTGAAGATACCAATGCTGTGTGGTGTTGAAAACCTTATAGTGAAAAATGCTGGATCACAAAGGCTCTGGTGGTCTGTGGCAGGGAGAAATCAATGTACTGCAATTAGGAAAAGTAAGCTAGGAACTCCGACATGGTAAAACTCCCAAACAGCCTATGCTCAGAGAGCCGTTTACCAAATGGTGGTGGTATTGCTGCTGAGCACTAGGTACCATGGCATTTCTGTAGGGAGTAATTCTCTTCTGAATTTCATTGGAGTAAACTGGAATAGCTCCCCTGACTTCAATGAACAGTTTTAGAGGTAAATTTCAGTGCAAGTCAGCATAGTTACAGAAGCTTTAGGCAAATGCAGGGAGAGGAATTTAACCTGAAGTTGTTCAGCATGACATGAGTGGGTTTACCTGCTTTGTTTGTTCTGCTTATTTTAAGCCTAAGCTTTTGTTCACCATTACGGCAAATACAATTGATGTTAACAGCCTCTTGAGCTAACTGGTGATCTGACTATGTCAGAATTAAGAAGCTCCTCAGGCTGGGGAAAAAGTCCTTCCTGATGTTGGAAAAAATGGCTTGTGCCTAAATGCAATGAGAAGGTGCAGTCTGAACTGCATCGTATTTTCTGTTTGCCTGCTGATCAGCAGAAGTCTATGTGAATTAGAAACTGCTGTTTAAAATGCAGAATTCAAACCATAATTTGTTGATATCATCTAACTGGCTCACATTTCCTTTGCTAACAGGGACTGCAAATGGTGAGCTTTTAGTCTTTTAAATTACTGTGGGCTTTAAAATACTTTTCTGCAAAATATGTAAAGTATTCAGGTGTCTTTGTAGTAGTATCATGAAGCAATCAGTGTAATTGGTAATACAGCAGGTGTTTGGCTGGGTAATGTTTGGAAATTTAGCAGGAAAAGGATATTGTGCTTAATTGAGGTAATATTTCCCTTCTCAGTCCTTAGTTAAGTGCAGCCAAGAACACCTGAATATTCTCCAGTTAGTAATATGCAATGCATTGCTGTCTTTGGAATTACTTTTTTGTATTATTCCAAAAGATCTTAATGCTTTAAAACTGGGATTTGCTGTCAGCCTCAATTGAAATTGGGATCAGCTGGCATCTGTCTTGACTGACTAGTTATTTCAGTTTTGTGTCTGCTTAATGGGTCCACAGAGATTACGACAGTGTGGCACAGCACTGCACTGAAAGGTTTTCACATTGTTTCTTGGAGGTGCTCTTTCTAGCACAGGAAGAATTACCTAGGTCTTGGCTAGTCTTCCACTTCCAGTTAAAGTAGTTAGTACGGGAGGAGAAAGCATTAAAGCTCCTGGATGGGGGAAATAACTGGTTAATTTAGTAAACTCAATGGCTACTGTGAT